TAACAAAAACCACATGGTTATATCATTAGATGCAGAAAAAAGCTTTTGATAAAATCCAGCACCCCTTCTTGATAAAAAACCCTTGAACATCTAGGCATATGGGGAACATACCTCAAAATAGTAAAAACCATCTATGAGAAACCCACAGTCAGCATACTCCTAAATGGACAAAAATTGGAACCATGTCCTCTGAAAATGAACAAGACAAGGATGCCCATCCTCACACCTCCTATTCAATATAGTATTGGAAGTCCTGGCTAGAGCAATCAGAGAAGAGAAGGCAATCAGGTGTATCCAAATAGAAAAAGAGGAAGTCAAGTTATCTCTCTTTGCAGATGACATGATTGTGTACCTTGAAAACCCAAGAGAATCTGTCAAAAACCTCCTTACACTGATAAAGGCCTTTGGCAAAGCCTCAGGATATAAAATAAATGTGCAAAAGACAATCACATTTCTTTACACCAATAATAAACAAACAGAAACCCAAATAAAAAGCACAATTCCATTCACAATAGCCACACACACAAAAAGAAATACCTTGGCATCTTCCTAACCAGAGACGTGAAAGACATTACAATGTAAACTACAAAACTCTGCTCAAAGAAATCAAAGATGACACAAATAAGTGGAAAAATATCCCATGCTCATGGGTTGGAAGAATCAGCATTGTGAAAATGTCCATCTTACCTAAGGCAATCTACAGATTCAATGCAATATCCATCAAATTACCAGCAACATTCTTCTCAGACCTAGAAAAAACAACACAGGAATTCATATGGAAACACAAATGACCAAGAATAGCCAGAACAATCCTCGGCAAAAAAACCAAAGCAGGCAGTATCACATTACCAGACTTCAAACTTTACTATAAGGCTAAAATCATCAAAACAGCTTGGTTCTGGTATAGGAACAGGCATATGGATCAATGGAATAGAATTGAGATTCCAGAAGTGAAACCTCAATTTCTCAACCAACTCATCTTTGACAAAGCCTCCACCACCTACCACTGGGGAGAGGAGAACCTATTCAGTAAATGGTGCTGGGATAACTGACTGACCACATGCAGAAGATTGAAACAGGACCCCTATCTATCCTCATACACAAAAATTAACTCCAAATGGATCAGAGACCTAAATATAAAACCTCAGACCATAAGAATCTTAGAAAATGAAGGACATACCCTCATGGAAATTGGAACTGGCATCCAATTCCTGAACAAAACCTGAAACCCACAGGCCATAAGAGATAAGATAGACAAGTGGAACCTCATTAAACTGACAAGCTTCTGCAAAGCCAAAGAAACCATCAAGAGAGCAGGGAGACAGCCTACAGACTGGGAAAAAGTATTTGCCAACTCCAGGTCTGACAGAGGCTTAACATCTTGGATCTACAAGGAACTCAAACGTGCTGAAAAGAAAAAAACAAAAACCCCATTATAAAATGGGCAAAAAATATGAACAGATATTTCTCAAAGGAAGACATCCGAGCAGCCAACAGACACATGAAGAAGTGTTCAACCTCACTAATTATCAGGGAGATGCAAGTCAAAACCACACTGAGATACCACCTAACTCCAGTCAGAATGGCAATTATCAATAACTCAAAAAATAACAGTTGCTGGATAGGGTGTGATGAAAAGGGAACACTTCTACACTGTTGGTGGGAGTGTAAACTAGTGCAACCTCTGTGGAAAGCAGAGTGGAGATTCCTAAAAGCTCTAAATATCACCCTCCCATATGACCCTGCAATCCCCCTACTGGGAATATACCCTGAAGAACTCAAATCACTCTATCAAAAAGAAACCTACATACAAATGTTTATTGCAGCATTGTTCACAATAGCAAGAACCTGGAACAAACCATGCTGTCCATCAAAACAGGACTAGATTAAAAAATGTGGTACATATACATGATGGAATACTACACAGCCATAAAAAAGAACAAAATCATGAATTTCGCAGCAACCTGAATGGAACTAGAGTCTATAATACTGAGTGACCTCTCACAGAAACAAAGATCTGAGTATCACATGTTCTCACTCATATAGTGGACCTTGATCATCCAATGTATTACCATAAGAAAATGACTGATAGTGGTGGGAAACTATGGGGGGGAGGGGAAGGGAGATGGGATTAACGGTAGTAAATATCTGTCTGGGGATGGGGAGACACCTCTTATCAACAAGGGTGCCTGAATGAAGCATATTTGTATACCTAACCCTTAACTGTACCCCACAATATCATAATAAAAAATAATGATCATTAAAAAAAATTGAGTGTACTCTACAGACAGTAGTAACATATAAAGGAATTTAGATTCTTGTCAATAGACAAAAAAATTGTCCTTTGCAAGATTTATCTGATCATCAGAGATAGATGATTAAAATAAGGATTTGTTTGGAAGCAACTCTGAAGAATTGATGTATTTGTGGCTATTTAATGTGAAATATTTAAAGAAAAACTAACGTGCCCTGGTATTATATATATTTCCCTGAGTAACTGGTATAATTGAATAGATTACTACAATGTAATAAAATTCTATAATGACTAGTGGTTCTGTAACTCTATTCAAACATAATTAATTTGAAAGTGCCTCTAAAATTTGTATGTATAGCTAGAGTTGAGCCAATTATTTAAACATATTGATATATTTTTATATTTACAACAGTCTGATAGAGAATTGCCAATAACATTCTTTCAAGGAATCTCAGAAGTTTATAAAAATATCCTAAGAAATCATGTGGTCCACATTATTACTTTTTGCAGACAATGGCACTGAATACCAAATAAGTGCATAGAAATCCTGT